TTGATTTTGAATTCTTTTCGTTCCGCGAAACGGTGATTGTAAAAATCCAACATTCATAATGTAACACGAGCAACATTTGATCCTTACTTGTACGTTGGATTTATCAAATGGTTATCGCGACGGTGAAAATTACTGTATCAACGAAAAGCGCAGTCCCCCGCCAGTCAAAGGCGGTAAAGGTGCAAGAAACGGTCGTTTCCTCGCGTCCACAATGTCGCACCGCGTCGCGGCGTGAATACAAATCGGGAGTTTTTCATGGGACGCCCGGTGATGTTCGCCTGGGTCAACCCTCCTTCCCCCCCCTCCTCCCCCTCCCTGATCGTGAACGAAACGCGCCACGAAGTCGACCATTTTTCCACCGGGTTAAATTTCTACGACTCGACGGCGCGACGTTGACGGATGCGCCGGCCGAAGAAATCGTGCCTCGCGACGCGCCCGGACGTGCTCGCGCTATCGTTTGCATGAAAAATCGGGCGTGATGTACCCTAAATCCCGCCGCGATCAGCTCTCGTTCCGTTAGACCGGTGACCCATCCGAGACCTTTGGACGGCAGGACGGGTTATACAATTTATTCCGTAAAATATTCTAGTCTTAAAAGTGAAGTATTTATCTAATTTATATTCTCGCCGTAATATTTAGTTACGTTAATTCATAATTCTTCAAATGATAAAGTTACGAGTTGTAAATGATTATATACTACTACATATATTTGACGTGAAAAAGTTTTAATATACAAATCTAAGAAGCTTATATCAAACAAATATTTAATTTGATATTAAATTGTGCAATTTATATGCTAAAACATCCAGAGATCACAAGACTTAAACTTATATTAGCTCATACGGATATAATTCATTGTTACATGCGAAGTCAGCAAAGTGTGCTATCTGGAGTCATAATGCCGGAATAATTTACACCGCGATAAAACACGCGTAATCTATTTGATTGCAGTAAGCGTTCTTCTTGCATCAATGATTGTGTCCGTGTAGATAACATCGTCACTAGCCCCCACAGCGCGTCACATAGAAACGGGTTATGATCAGCGTGATTCACAAAAGAAAGACTCGCTCGTTGCACACAGAGCGCGGAGAACGATTGAAGCCTCACTGAGCGAGATTGCGAAACAAAACGATCGCGCTGCACTGCTAAACTTTCCGTTTAGCGCATTCGTAAACCTTCGCGATACGATATAAAGATTGCAATAAAACGAGAACGGCGATCGGCGATCATTAATGTCGCGCCGCCAACGTTGAAAAGAAATAAGTAGCGGCGGTACTATCAACCGGTTTTCCCAGAGCCCAGAGCAACGCGAACCGGTACTCCGCGTATATGTAGATTGGCCGTAGCTGAAAGACCGGATGATATCCGCGATTGTGTGTCCAAAGGCGCGATATTAGTCCAATGAGAGAAAAAAAGGACGATATTACAGCAGCACGCGTTTGTATATATATGTTGTGTACCGCAGATGCGGTATGCTAATGTCTATACAGATATTCAGTTACAATTTTAACTCTGGCTCTCTTTATCTTTCGTATTAGTTTCAGTTAGTTCCAGATTTTATTTTAACTGGGAATTCTAATTGAAGGCTTAGTTATCTTAATGTTAAAAGCTGTTTAATGTTGAAGATTAGAAAGCTGCAGCGCACGGTGAGGTATATAGTGTACAGTCGAATTTTTCTAGGCGAAATCTCGTCCCCGAGCCGGTCTGTGAGAGGAGAAGCGAAATTAATTTATCCCTAGGTCTCGTCTTTTGTATTACTTTTTTTCTTTTTTCAGACGCAGAGCCTCTTACAAAACAGCTTTTGGAAACAGAATCCGATTTGCATAAATAAGAATGCCCCCTTCCAGAACTAAGAAGCTTAATTAAGACTTCGTGGATTCGTAATTTTCGCAGTTTTAGCGGAACCTTACCTGCGCTTGTAAAACCAGTCCTAGTCGCGGGCACCTAGGCGCATTATTTCGTGGTGGTTACTTCCGTGATCTTAGCTGAACTCGCGCGAAACGTCGATTGCAATCGAGGCGTTATGAATAGGTCGCTCTCTCGATATTTCTCACCCGGCGCGGCCCGATCTCTTTGTCGCCGCGATCGGTAGATTCGAAACGCGGATTACGTTTGCCTACGGCCGACACCGGCACCGGGGAGACTGTAAACTCGCGCAGGAGATCGTGTTCGGTCGTACACATAACACGTATCCGAATGCATCTACGTGTGTACAATGCAGTCCCATAGAGAGAGAGCTCTCTTTCCACGCTCGCGCGATTCCACGCGTGTATGGTACACGTGCTCCGCCGGCTCCGACTTCCGGTCGCGGTTACCACCGACGATGGTCCAAGGAATATCTACTTAATTGTAACATTGTTGGGTGTAAAAGCAGTCGACAGAGATATTAACACTAGTACGGTCGGAGATTAGACTCGATCTAGATTTCCCATCTTCCCGTTTTAATTGGGTGTAGAATTTCGAGAAGGGGACAGAAATAATAATTTGCGGTATAATGATAAAGAAAAATAACGGTTTGCTTTCTACGCTATAAAATATCAAGTCATAATGAGATAGGCAATGAGACATTTCTTACTGTCCCCCCCCCCCTCCCCCTCCCCGTACCTACACAAGTATGCAAATGTATAAGTTACTGAAAGAGAAACGCGCTATTATCGCGCCGAGTTAATACTGTAAGAATGCACTTAACATTTATTGTTGCGCGCTGGCAAGTTATCGTCGTAATGCGCATTTTAGCGCACAGTAACGCGTGATGAACGCGCGCTAATGGACAGGACGGTCGCGATAACGACATATATTAATGAATTACCACTCGCCGGCCACGTCGCGAGGGGGATATTCCGAAAGAATTTTATAGGCGTATCTAATTGTACGTGTATGTTGTTACCACCTGAACACTCCGAGGGGCTCGCGAGAGCGGCGTCCTGCACATTTAAATTTATAGATGCAGTTATATATACATAATGCCCGGCGCTGGTACACGCGAAGGCTTATAGGGTACTAACTGAAATATGCTCTTTCTGGCGCTCCATGAAATCACATGCAGGATTGAAACCGCTATCAAACCATTCGTAATTTACATCCGCCTAATGCGCCTGACTCGAAGATTACAATTACGGGATAAGCGAGTTTCAAGTGTCGTAAAGCGGGAGTCGTTTGCGCTTCGCGAGGAGACGTCATTTCGATAGCCAGGAAAATTAATACTCCGTGCGCACTAATGACAATGAAATTCCTGTTAATGCAATAGTTCGTGTATAATATACACAAACGACGTTCTCTCTAATGAACGCCTGCTGTTGTGACAATCGCATTTAGCAGATCAGAATAATTGAGGGCGCCCAATCGATTTTGCTGTTATAATATTAATCGGGCCCGAACCCCGTAGGGGGATGACAAATAGAGGAGCGTAATCGCGCGCATAAACCTTAAATTACCTTAACTTACGCGTTACGTCGTAGTTGGAGCACCGGTGCTTTATTATAAATGTTACAGACACACAGGGCGAAGGGACACCCGCGCTGCTATCGCCGGTTTAATCGACCAACTTTTCTGCCGTTCACGGCTATATGGCTGCTTCTGACGCGGGCGAGGAAGCAGCTTGGACGAAAATTAATGGATCGAGTGTACACGCGCATACAGATACGTACTTATGCATTGTTGCACGTAGCCATTCGTGAATTCACATAAATTGCGTCGCGCGTTTCCACAGAACCGCGGAGAATCCATACGAAACGGCGGCGCGGGCTGCAGGTTATCGTTTTGCGTATCCCGTCACGAGGAAGCAAAGTTTTGCAGTCGAAAACTACAGGACTCATTCATTATACATTTTTGGTAATTGTTCATTTTCTTTCTTTTTTTTTCTTCAAAATGTGCCACGTAGGTATACGAATGTGACAGCAGGGGGTGTGCAACGTGCGAGGAATGAAACTTGTGACAAAGATAAACTTCGGTTTCTGCAATACGTTTTCGATATAACCGACAGATTACGAATCTCTTGTGCAACGAGACGGTGCTATATGCTATCTTTGTAATTTCAGTAGGACAGTAGGACAACAATGGTAATGAAAGCTTAAAGAAGAGGAAGATAGTGACAGCCGCGATTGTGTTCGAAATACTCGACTGTCGCTCAATACAGCTTGCCTCTCATTTCAGGCATGATCGTATCCCTAACATAAAAACATACCTTATATTCTACCCTGTTATATTATGATATTTATGGTTTGGGCACAAGAGGGTTAGTTTCGCTCGTTTGCTTCGGGTTGACTCAGTTATGTCTCGTCTCTACGTGACGTTTCAATCTCCGGGTATCAGCCGTCCTTCAGCGGGGATTTCACAATAAAACGTTATAGACATTCATCTTCCACATGGGAGAATCTCGAAATCATCTCTAATAAACTGACTCAAAGTGGCTCACCGGTGCGAATCGCGTCGTAATATTAAATGACGCTCGTACACGTACATGTTGACTAGAATTAGTACTATTGGAGCTTCTTAAAATAAACGAAACTATAATTGATGGGCAGTTCACTTCGCACGCACTTAAAAAATAATTAAATCTCGACAGAGAGAGAATGAGAGAAATTACATTTTCAACAATTCTCCCTTGAAAAGATATGTCTCCGGTTACTTAGATCATCTACACTGTGCATACAGTACTTATACGTTTCGAGGCGCTTCGCACAGTTGTGTTGATGCTACGAAAATCGTCCTTGCGCGTATCGCGCGGAATGAGAGAAAAATATTTAATTTACCTCGTCTACAAGGGCCGCCGACGAACTCGACGAGAACTCGCGATGGCAGAACAACATCGTTGCTAATACTTGGCTTATTTATTTTACTTTACTGTTCGAATTTGTAATTTTGCGTTTAAGTAATATTCCTCTTTATCTCGCTTAAGAAAGCACTATCTAAGAAGAATCGATTTTAAGGCGTTTTCCTTTCCCTTTAACGAATGATTTAAGATCAACCATTTTCATTATTTCTCCTAACAACTTCGAAAATTGTTTTACTCTCTCTTTAATAGCCAATAATTTTCGCGACGGTTTGATTTACAATAAAAAATTTATTTCTTCTTCCTTTATCCTTCTTATTTCGTTCCTTTTCCATTGTGAATATAGAGAAATTGTTTATTTCTGAAATAATAATTATGTATTTTATGAAGTTTTATAATTATATTATAAATATTAAATAAGCTATGTTATTATAAGAATACTAATTATAAGTGATGAACTCATACGTTTAAAATTCGTGAGTTAATTATGATTATTGAAATTAAAAAAGAATTCATAAGTCGCCTTATCGTTGTAAATTACATTATTTTAAAAGCTTTTTTCGTTCCTATTCCATAAAGAGATTATTATAAAAATATATTTCACATGTATATTGCTACTGGGTAACTCAAATATAGATGTGCTTCGTGCACATTTACATTTCCCGAAACAGCATAACCTTTCTCCATGTACATTCTCCGGAGTAAGTACCGTTTCATATAGCATCTAAGAAACGTAATATCCGGTTGTACATTGGCCCCGATTCCACTGACACCTTGAGAAACTTTTATCAGGGAAATAATATCGTTGGAACTTTGGTATGAAGTTGCGCCGGCGAGCGTCCGCTGACGGAGAACCTTCCCGAGGAAAAGTTCGTTTCTCTCGCGTCATTGCCGGGTAAAAGTTTCACCGTCCGCGTGGAAACACACGTCGAAACTCGTGCGCGAGTTCGCGGTGGATGTTGTTGCCCTGCGCGGTTCCATGCACGGATATGTCGTACACATCCTCGCGGTGATATCGGCAAGAATTATCGCCGCGTCAGATTACGGGGACTCATTTCACCATCGCGCCGTTCCTATCGGTATAGAACTTGTTTTTATCACGTAAAAATTTTTACGGACAGTAACGAGCAAGCTTACGAAGAGTAATGGCCGGCATGGACACTTTCGGCCGTGGTCGCACGGTCGAGATATCGATCATCTCCCCGGACCACGATTTTCCGAGGCCCGCATACATACCGGGGGAGGATAACACACGGGGACAGTGGAACCGCAGCAAACGCGACTGTGCTCGCTAATAGATCCGCAAGGCAAGAGAGAGAGAGAGAGAGAAAGAGAAAGAGAGAGAGAGAACAGGGATAAACAAGGGGATAGGGGAAGTGAGCGAACAAGCGGGCGAGAAGGTAACGACCTACGGGAACGAGATAGAAACGAGAGCCTTCGAGGCAAGAGGAAAGTTGTGAAAAATGGACGACACTGGACCTGACCCCTCTTACCCGGCGTGCAAACAACTTCTACGTCGGGACCGCATAATCTACCGCTGTGTCGTTGCACCCCAGGCTGACGGCAGCGTCTCACCACTTTACCTGCCTGCACAGGTGGTGATACGAAGAAGTGCCGATGAAGTTGGGCACGCGGTACGTGTATGCGTCCGTGATGTGTATGCGTCCACTCTATTAAAACGTCTAAGAGCGCGAGCGCGCCATTATGTATAGCCTCCGGTCAAAGAGGGGTGAAGCCAGAAGGAAGTGAAACCGCGGATGACGGAAGTCGACGGAGCGAGTATGAAAGAGTGGCCCAAGCGTAAAAGGTCGCATTCCATGTGCATGTCGTGTGGTTGTTGGCACAACCCTCCCTCAGTCGATGAACCCGTCGTAGTCGTCGTCGTTGTTGTCACCAACGTTGTCACCGCGATTGCATGTTACGCCACTGCTCTATAGGTATTCTCTATCTACCCTTCAGCGTAGTTCCTCCTCCGGGCACTACTCGACGCTATCTCGCTTGCTTTGCCCCCCATCCAGCCACTTCTGCTCCTCTTGGCTTCGTCTTCCATGTAATACGTGTATGTACACAAGGTGTCTCTAACCAACCGCATTCTCCTTCATCGTAGTCACGCTTGCGTGCAAAATGAAATTACACGCACGCAAAGAATCGTTTCTAACAAGGAGGCGAGTAGAATCAACGCAAACGTAGAATCTGTTTAAAAAAAAACTTAAAAAACCGTGTCGAATTGTTATATCAATTACTTCTAATTACCCGAAATGTTTATTCGGGCGTATCGCGGGATGATGAATTTTTTGTCGCATCGCGAGCTTTCCATACGTCTCGTATTCATCGGCAGTTTCCGTACCCTTTATCCAGTAATAAAACTGGACAATAGCCTATCATCAGTGGCGCTGCGGCGTCGAATTCGCAAGGAGAACAACGGCGCGATTTCGCGCGACTGCAATACTTGTGCGTTAACACAAAGCGCGGTTAGTCAGGGACACTCTATATGTTCGGCAGGCGCGCACGTATGTGCTTCCGGGGGGGAAACGTTGTGTGCGTTTACGTGGATGTGGCGAACCGGTACACAGCTCTACAGCACGTCTACACGGCTCGTTTACATGTGTTACCGCGGGGGATTCTCTTCTGCCGGCTGCACAACAATGGGCGATAGCTTCATCAGCGGGCGCGCCGACGCTGCCGGCCGCGGGAGGCGAGGGTGAGTCGACGAACGGTGTCGGGGGTGGTAGCCGTCGACGAGCTGCTTTCAAACTAATCAAGCGTCGTCAAAAGGAGACGGCCGCGCGTTATCTTTCGACAACGACGACGACGACGCGCGACATCTCGTCGCGCGCTGACGCGCGTGATGCCGACGTCGCTTTTCGGACGATGAAACTGACTTCGCGCACACGCGCGCGACTCTTCGTTCCTTTCTTTTTCGCGCTCGCCGAAAGAACGCGGTAGAAATAGAAAGGCCTGGGCTGTTTAATGAGAGCGTGATACGCGGACGATGCGCGCGGTCGAGTGCTCGGACCGGTCGTGTTCCCCTTACGCTCGAGTATCACGTATACCAGATAAGCCTTTGTGTGCGAGAGAGCACAGATAGGACGTTCATTTTTGTTGCGTGCGCAAAAACGACGAAAAACCGTTTAACGTACGAGCATGGAGGCTCTTACGCCGGCTCTCGACGAAGGAGATCGTTTGTGACGCTCTACGTTTTTGCGTCCGGCGATTGAGGCGAGAGTTTTCTGGGCAGATGGTGCGTTCCGTTTTTGCATAGTGGAAAAATGTTTGGTGGAACTTCATTATCGTCGTAGAGATTACAACGCTTTTAGTCGGCGTGATGGTATTTGCCGTGGCTGTCCCGTGGCGTTAATCCGACAATGACCGCGTCTGATTACTCCGTGTTTTTTTAATATTTTTTTTTTAATTATTTTAGATCACGCGCGTACACGAAACGCCGCGTCGACGCAGTGATTTGTCATCCTCATTCTCGAATAATTCGCTTTGTCAGAAAGTAAAATTGTTAATCAAGAAGAAACGACCCCGTTCTCTCTCGGCGCACCTTTCGCGCGCGCGAAAGTGAAGAGTGCCGCGCGTCGTCGCCTGCCGTTTCTTCCTATTCAACGGATCCAACGGGGTGTTAAACGATATACCGTAGTGTCTGCTGTCAAAATGACGCATTGCATTTACCTTTGCAAGTACGTGACCAATGACGCGTGACGTAACCCAATCAATTGCTTATCCCCATTCGTATATTTGCCGATGTATATTAATGCGTTAGTGTACTCCAGCGAGTTGTGATTCTCTCACAGGGATGATGGATAGCTATGAGCGAGGTCATACGATGATATGATCTTGATTAAGCGTCGATGTTTACAAGACAAACGTTAGAAAACACACCAGGTGTCTCACCTCAAGTATCATCATAACTGCGTGTCCTAAAATACGTTGGACAGAGAAGAATAGTACAGGGGAAAACATGTTTGATTTTAGAAGCAATTTAACTACTATGTAATAAATCATTCTAATGAGTTTCGTAGTAGGAAAGTTATTAAAATTTATATACATATCATGAAATACATGGTATAAAAAAAAATGAAGAGTTTGCGAATGAAAAACCAAGGGAGCTGTTTCATGAATATTAGATATCTAATTGCAGCTAAATTTTAGGAACGTACATCGGAATTCGGATCATAGTAAAATGGCGTATTTGTTATTTGGGATTTGCCCCGTTTTTTTCTGTCCACATAGAAAGAGAGAGAGAGAGAGAGAGAGAGAGAACGAGTCCGCGCGAGAGAAGAACGAAACAACAGGCGAACGGCAACGATGGTCGCAACGTTTGGAATTCGTATGGTACCGTTTGCAGAGGGGGCGAGAGAAAGAGAGAGAGAGACGGAGCCCAATATCGGTTTTTGATGAAATCGGTATTTGTTCCACATTCCGCGCGCCGAGCGTGGACGTCTACTCTACCCACGTCACCGTCCATCAAAAATTTAATATGCGCTGTATGCTTGTCGAAAGGATGTTTTGCTGGTGTACGTACGCATATGCCAGTGTGTGCTCTATTAATCATTGCGCCCATATTTTGTTCAGTTAGTTCCGGATTCTTTTTTTTTTACGTTGTCATTTAAAAGATGTAGCCAATTATTATTCTTCAACCTTCCGACACGCCCAGATGCGTGTCAGCACAGTAGACTTAAGATAGATTTAGCGAGATGCTATCGCGTGTCGAGATCTTTTCATCTATTCGTCCGTGTCTCTATCTCGAAGCTATAAGAGCTATTATCATCTTGTGATTTGAAAATATTACACATATTTAATTAATACGTGTCATTCTTACGTACTTAAATTATTATAATAATAGTGGTTGTAATTAAATAATAGTAATTATTCCGATTTGAAATTGTAATTATTCGATCGATATTTTGACAAATGATGTTTTACAATTACCGATTTTATCGGCTTTGTAGAATTTCGATATAAACGCGTGTGAATACCAATCGCGTGCTATTATATCACTTTCATATCTGTTTATCAATTTTATACTATGCCTCTGCAGTACCTGAAGTGAAAAATAATCCGCAGATGAAAGCCGCGTGCAAATTTAATGCTTGAAGCGAAAGCAGTGGGTTTTCAACTCCTATGATAAATAGCGGTCTCTTGTCTCCCGCTCCTAAACAACCATGACACATTGCGAGGTGCGAATTTATGCTCTCGTGAAATTTCGCGGCTGAATCGTATAAATTTGTCAAATAATGCAATTATGTGCATATTATTTGCATTCATATTCACATTTGTGTTAGCCGATTCAACGACATTTCTCGTAAATCTCACGAGCGTTGCAACTCTTTCGCGACACTCGATAATCTCCGTCGCGATTATTTTGGAATTGAGAAAACGCAAAGACGACGCGGGCACGGATCATACGCATTCAATCGACAAACGCGAATCGTATACTGACCTACTATCTCTCGTTCATTTCGTATCGATTTATGTCATAGGACTGTCAATGATCGACGTGATTCCGGCCAGATCTCTCCTCGGTTATTTTTAGTACATTGTCCGAAACGTGAACCGTAATATCGCTTACACGTATATACCGCCGTCACGTTTCCACCATTCGGTGTCCGTATAATATCGAACTGGCTGTCTCCTCTTTCACCGGTTATTGCGGGCTCCGAAATTATTCGTAATGGGATTTAATAGGATTAGTACGCGAGAGAGAGAGAGAGAGAGAAACGTGCGTCACACGTTGCTCGGTGATAGCCAACGATAGCCGATACATACCAATTTATTCGGTAACAGCCTCCGCCTGGAATTTCTGCTTGGCGAAAGCGACGTACGTCTCGTTACGCGTTTGAACGGTTTATCGACGGTTACAGGCCTCTCCCCTTCGTCGTACACGCCTATACGTATCCACGTATACACGTACGCACACTCGCCATGTTCTCGAGCTGTTAATCGCCCGATCGCCTTTTGCGGGATTATAGTTAAGTCAGTGCCCAACCTGTGCGTCAGCCGGTCGTAGCGCCTTTTTATTGCCAGCTGATGACGCCTTAAAAGCACGTGGATAATAATACACGAATACCATGTACACCGCCGCCACCGCCTGTCTTTTCGACATGCCGCTTTACCTGTAGGATAGCTTTTTCGTCGCGGCCGCACGCAACGTCCACCTTGCT